AAAAAACATTAATTTCTTGGATGCAGGTTTGACCTGCAGCCAGAAAGAGAGTCTCCAAGCTCTTTCCCGACAAGTTTTGACAAGAAGAGAGAGAAAGAAACTAAAGTTACTTACTTGACTTATGACAGGATCGAACGTGGGTACCTAGAATTAAGAAGCAAACACACTAGCCGCCTGAGCTACAGACGATCGAAAGACTAAATGTACCACTAGCATGCCTTTCGATCATCTTATCCTCTTGTTTGTTTCTTTATTCTAGTACTAATGTTTCTTTAACATCTGAGCAAAAGGTACTTAACAACAACAACAACCCTTTTGCTGACCTTTGACGTCGCCATAGAGAAATGAAAAGACAAAAGAATTACATCCTCATTCCGAAAAAAATAGCGTAGGCAGAAAAAAGAACAGAAGCTTAAGCGAAAGAGAAATTTAGTTGTACTTCTTTTTAAAGGTGCAACCAGTACCGATATGCATTATAACACCGACTGGTATACCGGCATTAGTGTGAAGTATAATCAGTCGGTCGATATTGCCGGTATTTTGCGGTATGATACGACTTTCTGAAAAACATCATGTAAATTCAGTTCATTTATGACATATTTCTTCCACTAAAATTCCATTCCACTTACTTAACCTTTGTCGGCTTATAGAAACTCCCTAACTTAAAACATTGAATTGGATTGGTGTTTTGATTAAAAAAACGTGTAAAAATTCAGCTATACATAGTCAAAGTGAAAAGATTAATCGATGCCTTTGATAACATAAGTAATTGATCAAAAGAAGAGTAATCGGTTTTTTTCGCCGAATATTAACAGACTTCATCACATGCATGAAACATGATCATAACCTCATTGGTATCCTCTTGATTCGTTCCTAATTGGCTTTGTAAGATCAAACAACATCAAATATGATATCAAAAATGATAGTGAGCAATTATTGACGAATCGAGATTAAACCACTTCATTCTAAAAAAAATGGACATTGATAAGTTGTCATATACACCCAGACAAGCCGATACCGGCCGGTATCAGTATTGCATTTTTGATACGCCTCTGCTTCTTTTGTCTCTTTGCTGCTTTTCATTTAATTGTCAGGATTTGCGCTCGCGAAGTTTTTGTGAGTCGGATTATTCTTAAGGAGTTTAAGCTTGCAACTGCCTTTTTTACAACCAATCTTCTCTCTTTGATTTTATCAGTTGGCGATACTTGTTGTACAAAATTCTAGTATTTTTTAGACAATTCAGTTTTTTAAGTAGAAAGTTACTACCTGCAGCTGGTCAGTATTTTTGGAACTAAACTGATTTCTTTTTAGGTGCACCCAGGTCGAAGCTCTGGTAATAAAAAAAAAATTACATGTCGGATTAAGAAATGAACACGAAGTAAATATGCTGATTGGTCCAACAACATAGCACTCTGTTCATTATCATTGTTAAAGATTATCACATCTTGTTCTCCGTAAAGGATGAACAAGAAAAACTTTTGTGTTTTTTGCTGAACTTTGTTATCATTTTTGGTTTTTTCGCTTCTTTTCTCCTGTGTTTTTGCTCTGATTTAGATAAAAAAGAGCGGTAGAAGACAACATGATTGTTTCTTTATCTTCGTTTACAAACTGAGCGCAATTATATGTTTCTATTTTCTACTATAATTGATCCATTTTTGATTATTTTCATGAAAAATTAAAAAATTCATAACTCAGTCAAAATCCATCCAATCTACTTCAGAATGTCGTTATACACTCCATTTAATCCGCTCATGCTGATTTTGTACTTAAAATCATTAAAAAAGATATTCTCTTGGTTCCGAAGGTTTTGCGAATACTTTCTAAAAAGTAAAGTATTTTGTGTCGGTTGTTACAGCATTTATTGAGCTTTACGGTATGCTGCCGATAAATAGAGTATATCCTGACATTCTGAAGTAGGTTGGATGGGATTTTGACTGACTTATGAATTTTTTAATTTTTCATGAAAATAATCACAAATGGGTTATTTCACCTAGCATAGGTTTCACCCGGTTCTTGCATTTTATTCTGGAAACTAACATACCACGAGATTCAACACAGTCGATAACCTATGCTTTCATTCATTTCTGACAGTCACAAACCAAACGGTAAAGGAGTACTAAGGCTTCAGGAAAAATGCCCATAGCTCGCAAACCATGGGTTTTCAAGATGTCGCTTGGATCCAGTTTTGTCGAAGACACTTCGAACTAGATATCTAATAAAAAAATCGACCTATTTCTATGTCAGTTTTCATAGATCCAAGCTGGTTTTCCAACGATCTTCTAAGAGACCGGTTTCGAAACAATATCCTGATATTGATTTTGCTTATAAAACCTAGTGTCTAATTTCTAAAACTGAAAATCGTAGATTTCTATCATTCGTCTATCAAAAGTTATTGAAAAAGCAACCAACGGCACTGTTTTTTTGGATCGATAAAAGATGTCAACGAACAGATTTCGTCGTAATTCGAGTTCGTCGAACTCGTCTACATCGTCAAAAACGAGGCCTACTCACTGTGTTATCGAGACAAATGATAAAGACAAAAATGTTACAATAGCTGTTATTCCATTGTCTGCAATAACAAATCCTGATGGAAGAAAATTAAAAGTTAGGAAAACATGCACATTATTAAAAGCACCACGTAACACACCACGTTCAACTATCAAATTTATTGGAGAAGAAGATGAATGTGAGAATCATCGAGAATTGTTACTATTAACAGATGGTGAGATTTTTTAAGTTTTTCTTTCTGCATAAATCAGTTGTCTCTATTCTCTTTTCTTTAAAAAGGTGAAGAAACAGACGAAAATTTGGGCAGTACGCGTAGAGATAATGGTAAGTCCAGTAATCTTAAAACTTCGTTAGACTCTTTCTGCTAACAGATACCCTTTTTTCCAGAAAGTTTTAAAGCTCCAGACACTATCGATGCAATTGGTGATTCATCAGAATCTGTTACATCAAAAACAGGTAAACGAAGATTGATTTTGAAATATTAAAAATAAAAGAACCAAGTTTGTTTATTTTTAGGTCAGAATAGATATACTCAAATGATTGCTGCACCAAGTCCATTACGAGAAAAACAAGTAGCACGATCTAGTCCAGGTAAGATCAAAACATTTTGTGAGAAACAGAAAAGTCAAAGTTTTTTTAAAAATTTACTAGAAGTTGTTCACCTTCCGGTTTGAGTCATTCTATTAGAGAAGTTAATGACCTATTTTCTTTTAGTTACGCCACATGCAGCAGCAACAACGATTGTTCATCGAAATGATGATTTGCCATTAGCACCAGGCACAAAAAGAGCTGCTGAAACATTGCCTTGTTCTCTTCCTAAACGGAAGATTGTAACAAGTAGCAGCGGATGTGGTGGCGGCGACGATCAGTTACATGGCAAAGAAGAAGAAGTCGATCAAAGTCAAACAAATGAAATAGTTGGCAAATTCAATCGATTAGTGAAACAATATACACAACTTGAAAAAGATTTTGTGAAATTACAACGAAAGCATAATGAGGTAAAAGCAAATACCGTTCGTAAGTCGAAGCTCAATAATTTTGGGCAGTTCAATGAATAGGAAAAGAGTTTAAAAGCACAATCACAACTCTAAATACTTCTGAACTTCTTTTCTATTTGTTTTTTTATTATTTAGCTCGGCCAAGTACAGAAGCTGCAAACTATATTTTACATTAGGTAATGTTTTGGCTCCGAAGTCGGTTGAACGAGAGGTAAATGATAAATATGGTACATCGTTGGGAATTGATCCTGGTGTGTTACGTATGTTAAAAGAAGAGACACAAACTTTGACGACACGTGCTATCGTAAGACATTTATTTCCAAGGAATTTAAGAGACTCGATGAAAAGTGATGATTTTGACGATCACCGATGATCAGCTATTCATGGTATGTCGAATGTTAAGAAATCCTTTTTTTGTATTTTTTACTAAAATAACTATTTGTTATTCTTCGTATTTTTTTAGATTACGTTAAATTAATTCATAGTGGTGAAATTTACAAAAAGTGTAAAACTAATGAAGCTATCAATGGTGTATTTTAGTCATCCCGTTATGCAAAAAATCAATCAATTACTTCATCAAATGAAACAGCAACACAACCATTAGATGTTTAGATAGAATGAATTAAAAGCTAAAATTAATTTGTTTCTCTTTCTTGGTTAAAAAAATGATCAGGTTTTTAAGCAGTAGTGTAAAGAGAGCAGTAATTTTAGTTTGAAATAATAAAAATAGTAAGATCCAGAATTTCTCTTTCTTTTGAGCCTTATTCGATATGGCTTATCTGTTACTTTCTCAAAAGTGTAAAAACTTAATTCATTTAACTTTCTTTCATTTTTGCTTCAGATAAATGTGAATGTGGAGTAGACGCACATTACTAAGAAGAAAACTGAAGTCACTGGCTTTTTATGGAACACAGAAAGGTAATGATTTATGTAATTTGCTTTATTGAAAAGAAAGAATGTTAATTTGATTTCTACATTTTTTTAGAGTGCAGCTTAGATAAATCACAAGAAGACAAAGAAGCTGAATCAAATTCGAACAGCTTAAGATGTGTTCTTTTTGCTATTTTTTCATTTCTCCACTTATCTACAGGCTCTAAACTTTGTTTTCGCGTTTTAGTGACACATAAATCGATGTAAGTGATCTTTCAAGTCCTATAAATGATCATTCAACTCCTCCTTCATCTCAATTCACTGACATACCTTGTTCTCCTGACTTCAGGATTGAAACAAGCTCAACTTCTACACGTGAAGAAGAAAGGTGAGTATGCTTCGACTTTCTTTAAGTTCAGAAGCATAGTTTTAACACAAAAATTGTTTTTTTTGTGTTCAGATACGAAAACGTTAACTCATTATTTTATAAAAAGACAATGTTCAAGCTAGATATATCAACTGCTCTTATATTACTTAAATCACGTCATAAACTGACCAACAAAGCAATTGATCATATCTGCCAACTGCTACACGCGTTAGAAGTGAAGCTTGCACCCAGGAGTTGCAAGAAAATCTGTTCAACATCGATCAATTTCTAGTCTTTTAACACAGAAGTATTATATTTGTCCAAAATGTACAAAGACCTCTCTATCTAATAAAAAATGTAGCAATCCGTCCTGCACTCTAAAAGATGGTTCTGATGAAACAGCTTTATTTTTCTATCAGTTTTCTATTAAACAGCAGCTAACAGAAATTCTAATGACAGAAAAAAATTTATGTATTCCTTCAATGGCTAAAAACTCTCCTTCTCCTCCTGGTTCTTCCGCTAGAGGAATTGAAACCAGGTCAGCAATTATTAAAGATATTACTGGCGGTCAGTGTTATCAACGTATTTTGAACGAAGAAAATGAAACTTTTTTAACACTCATCATGAATGGTGATGGCATTCAAGTATCAAATTCTTCAAACAAATCCTTATGGATTTTTACAGTCATAATTAACGAAATAAAAGAAAACACCGATTTCATATAAAAAATTCAATCATAGCAGCGATTTGGCCTGGAAAAAAGAAGCCAGATAAATATCAAATACGTGAAGTTATCTTAAAGATCTCTGAGGAGCTTAAACTTTTAGAAAAACCAACTGAATACTCTCTAGCTTCACAAGGTGGTTCTTCTGTTCTTTTATCAGTGTTTTTAATTGGTTTAGCGTGCGATAAACCTGCGCAAAGTACGATTCAAAACCTTGGTTCAACGGTGCATGCGGTTGCAACAAGTGCGAAATAGAAGGTAAATCGATTTGAGAAAAATTGAGCTTCTTTAAAATTGAACTTCTTTTAATTAACTCTCACAAGTTACATAACAAAATTCAAGCTAATATTTCTTTTGTCTACTTGTAGGTGACCTGGTGTTATCTGGAGCGAATGATCATCATACTATTCGAGTTTTTCCATTACCAAGTGAAGATGAAGTTCCACCGCGATTAAGATCAAATGAAACGTATGATGAAGCAATGATTATATTAGAATTTCAACGAAACAAAATAGTGAAGAAAACAATTGAAATGAGAAAGAAGGAATTTTTGGAGAGAAAGGGTCATTTAGGACCGTGTTCATTAAGAAATTTAAAATACATTGACATTGGGAAATTGTTTTTATTTGATTCTTTACATACTCTTTATCATGGAGTGTTGGTATGTTTTTTCAAGTTTTTCTCAAATTAGCAGCAAGAACGATAGACTTCAGCTTTTAAATTTAATGAAGAAAAATGTACTGATGAAGTAGTTGAACAAAATCTGTTCTTGAAGATGCCTAATTTAGTTTATAAAGTGCACTGATTTTGTTTTTACGTTTGTTAAAGGATCGCCTACTAACTCTATGGTTTGACGTCGATTATAAGAAAGAAGATTGGTCAGTTCGTCATCATATTGATTCAGCTGCTGATCAGCTCTTAAAAATACGTTATCCTTCGACTACGACACGTGCTCCAAGAAGTCTCCTCGAATACACAAGATACAAAGGCAGTGAACAACGGTGTATTCTTTTATTTGGATTTATTATTTTAAAAAGGTTTCTGAAGAAAGAATATTATGAACACTTGCTCCTTCTTGTTGTTGCATCGTATCTGGCTGAAGGTCGTGAACTTCATCATTCACAAATTCAAGATATTGAATTATTAATAAAACAATTTCTTGATTTATTTCCTTATTTGTACTCAAATCGTCATATTGTTCAGAACGTTCATTCACTATGTCATTTACAACAGTCTCTTCAAGGCTTTGGCTCATTAGCACTTTACTCCAAGTTCAACTTCGAAAACGTTCTCGGTAAGGCTTTTGTTTGAGTGAAGAGCACAAAGAGCGACGTATCTTAGCACCAAAATTTGCGTTTTTGGAATAAATTTCGCTTATTCTAACTAAAGTGTAGAAAGTTGTTGCAACAACTATATTTCTTGCTCTATTAGGCTTCATCACGTCAACGGTTCACGGAACTATTAATCATACAACAGAAATCAAAAATAACCTTAGCTCGTTACGTGCAGCTCACTATATTTACACTTCTCCATCTTCGATTACTTATGAAATTAAAATCTTCTGGATAATTTTCTCTCTACGAAACGTATAAATGTATCATCAAGTGCCAAATATACAAGTTCAAAACATGTAAAGGTGTATGAAAAGATTGAAATTAACAACAACGACCGGATAGAGATTAGCACACTATTTAATACAAATGATATTGAATGTTTTAATACATGTTTTATTGGTTCTGTCAGATTCACTTCCTCAACTTTTGCTGCTGGCAAATGTTTTGATGATTCGTGTGTAACTTACAGAATGAAAA